ATTTATATTTTTTTATAGGTAAGGATTATGTTTAATGTGAATCATCATGTAAAAAGTTATTTATTTATTTATACAACAAACTTATAATTGAGATTCTATTTTATACTACGTAGAATAATGTCATAATAATAAGTAATAAACATTTACCAAATTTTCATTTCTACATATGATTTATACATGATTATCAGATTTGTAAGTTATGGAACTACTCTACTATGATCCGTCCAGCGAGAGAGTGTCCTGACTTAATTTTGATTTTTCTAAGGATCCAACGAGGCATCCAGCCTTGGGGAAACCAGTTTTGACAGCAGGGTGACGAGGGGGTAGCGCAAAAACGGCACATTCTCTCGCTGGATAGAATATAAATGATATTGTTTTACATATTCTAAAATTTCCAATAGTTAAACTTATTGGAATTCTAATTTCTAATGTTTAATATTTAAAAAAAATTGTTCTAATATTTATTTATTTTACAGGATAGTTTTGTGCATAAGGTTGATTGATCTATCAAATTGTATCAGCATTCAATTCTTCAATTTTAATAGGATGATTAATTCTGGTCCAAATGTTATTACATGGATAATATTCTATTCAGACTGGTGGTTTATTTTAATTTTTTTRGTTTATTATTTCTTCRAGAAATGACAAGTCACTTAATATATTTATATTATATTGTTGATAAATAATTTATGTATGCAGTTCTTTCAAACTATCATAGTTTTTTTTTGTAAATATATTTTAGAACAATAAAATTAACATAACATAAGGTTTTAACTACTGTTAACTTATATATACTTGTAATTATTTTACTAAGTTATTTATTAAGTTTATTTTTTTTTTTAAACTGCTATCTATTGTGGTTTTAAAAAAAATAAAAATAATGATCTTACAGTTGACTAATGCATTTTATCATTTTGGTCTTTAGTTAGTAGTTATTTTTAGTCTGCCATGTTATTCTTTTCTATTTCCAAAAAACTGATTTCCCAGTAACGCTGATCTTATTATTCAAATTTTAAGATGTATTTGGTTTAATTCTTAGTTGGGTTGAAGAATTGTTGGTATCTTAATAACAATAAATGACTAATTTTTATTTGCTGAATACTTAAAATCATCTTGTATTTTAGCTACTGGAAGCTGAATTTGAGTTAACAGTAGATTGTAGATCATAAAGGTGATATCAATATTCATATTGTTCTTTAAGTTTTTAGATACCATAAAATATGAAATACTAAACTAGCTGTAATTAGATTTCATTATAAAATAATTCTATTTTTGTTAGTCAAACTTCCTCTTAATCCACCGTTGCAAATTGTTTCTACAGTAATGAAGTTTAGTTACTAAAGTTTGAAAAATATTTGATTGTTTTTTTTTTAAATTGAATTTCCTTTAATAGACTTGATATAATTATTTTCATACACCAAGTTTAACCATCATTATTGGTAGACTTTGCACCGTTAATTAACAACAAAATTTGAAATGGTATTTATTTGAAAAGACAGTTGTATAGTATAAATATTAAATAATATTAATATAGTTTAATTTGCGATTAAAGTTGACGGCCTGGCTACTATCGTCGCTAACCTCTGATGTTTTACACTCCAGCTAGTTAAATCACTGAATGTACTCGCCCTAGTTAGAAAAATCGCTAGTGTGAACGACTTTAATCGCTTAATGTAATTAGACAGATCGCTACACGCTCGACTTTGCTTGCCAACGACTAGTGAGTAAATTCGCTCAGTGTAGTCGACCCTTAAGGAAAAAGTAACATCAAATATTTTTAGTCTAAAGGTCCCTGTAGACAGTGGCACCTCGAAGGGAGTATATTTGAATCACGTGATTCACAAAAATATTAATGGGTGGTTGGGTAGGTAGGTCTTATGGTTGGAAAAGGTAGATTGGACCATTTTTGCAGGTTGGTATTTAAATATTAAATTATAAATAATAAATATAATTATGTGTACTCAGCAGATAATGTACAATTATAAGTAATAACTAATAACTCTATTTTAGGGTGGGTGGTGTAAAAATACTAAACGTGATTCAAGGGAAAAAAAGTTCAAGCCGCCACTGCCTGTAGATAATAAAGATCCTTGGTCGCCAATATCCGTTTATGCTCTACGTCAAATGACGTTTATAGATCAAGCATAAAAGGTGTTGATATTTTTATACAAACAATTTGCTCTTAGTGATCTATACAAAATTTTGTCATTTTTAAAGTGTTGAATTATTTTTTCCGAATGATTAGCATTTTCAAATATTAATATTTACATCGTTAAGTCATCTTACTTCTTAGTATCTAACTTAAAAATCAAATATCGTAAAACACCAATGAGAGAACACAAATTAGTGTTTTAAATTTTTAATATCAAAACTAATAGCTCACTAGTCACTATTGAAACTAGTGAACGCATAGGCGCCGACTCCGCGGGGGCAAAGGGGGGCGATCGCCCCCGTACATTGATTTAACGGGGGCAAAAGTAYTATTTCGCCCCCGTGCCCCGTTGTGTACAATAATTATTATTTTGGTTAAAATACCAGATTATAACATGAAAATATTCATTAGAACATCGACGATTGTATATTTGTATATTACCTAAATATGATCTATAAGTACTATAGATTAGCTGTAATAATTTTATATTGAGAGCTTTAAAAA